CTTCACACAGGAACCGACACACCACCTGCCACCACAAAGGCAAACAAGGAACTCTTAGGACTGATGAGCCAACAGCACCCTCTAGAGGACATCTGCACAAATCTAAAGTTTCAAAATATAACAAAATAGCTCTAAGATACAAACAGATCTAATTATAAATATCCCAGTGTATTACACAATTTAAATTTATATGGTTGAGATTGAGGTGTCCCTCTTATCATACCGTACGTTGTTATTTATATATGAAAAAATTCTAAATTTAAAAAAATCTCTCCTTTCAAATGGGATAATTCATGTTTTTTAATCATTTGAACCAAACTGCTTTTCTTTGATCTATTTTCATGCACTTGACATCATAATACAGGACTGACTCTTCCAACCTGTTACATGCAAAAGACAATCCAGCCAACTCGTGTTCAAAACTACATTGTGTCACTGTGTGTGCATCTCCCTCACCTGGTATCCTTGTAAGAATGGATCGAGAACACTGGTGAGGAAGGCCAAAGTCCTGTGCCCTCTCTCGGTGATCAGAACCTCCTGCTGGTTTATTTGCAGAGCTCCGGTCTTCACCAGCAGGTAACAGGCCTCCTCAAAGTCCTGCCAGACAACAGGAGGTGAGAGAAATATGTCACAATGACCATACAATAATTTATTCATAATTAATCTGGCGTACACCAGCACAGAGAAGATGTGTCTCACCTGTACAGTAGCTCCAGGACAGAGAATGAACTCATTAGAAAACATGTTTCTCAGGAAGCTGAAGCTGTTGTAGATCTCCTCTGGAAAACAGACACATAAAGAGGTCACCACAGCATATCATGTACTTCCCTCCCCCATCTCAGCCTTTGTGTCCAAACAGCTCAACCTGAACTGTCTCTCTGACGCACTCCTCCCTAATCCTGTCCATTCTGGTCACTCCCAGTGAAAACATCAACATCTTTACCCCTGCCACCTTCAACTTGGGCTCCTGTCTCTTTGTTTCATCATAGTAGGTCTCACTAATATTTCACTCTTGTTGCTATCCTCCCATCACAAATCACACCTGACAGTCATCTCAACCCACTCCTCCCTGTCTGTAGTCTCTTCTGCACCATCCACTGCTTTTGACCCCAGTATTTGAACTTGTCCAGCTTCACCGTTACATCTGCATCATAGCAAATGTGCCAGCATAAACAGGCTGAGTTTAAGTGACTTTTTAAAGACACTTAGCTGCCAGCTGAGTTTATATTATTATTTTTTCATTGTTAGTTTGAATTTGCAATATGGATTCACAATTAAAAAAAGATTAAATTATCATACCATATAAAAACTTTTGACAGATTAAGAACTTCCACAGAATCTAATGTAGACTTCACATCAGATAAGTTTGGTTGTTTTTTTTTTTTACCTTGTGCTCAGTTGGCACAAACTTACTTGGAAAAACAGAAAAGGAATTTTCTGGAGATAAACCAGTGATCAGTTAGCTCCCATTTCCTGTTACACAAAGTAGATTTAATCTGTGGTGTCCTAACTAACAGTAGTACTACTTGTCTTTCCTGTATGCCGGGGGATTCCCATGATGCATTGAGTTTTTCCTTTCCAGTCACCTTTCTCACTCACTATGTGTTAA